ATTCCAACTGTTTGGGGTTATATATATATATATATATATATATATATATATATATATATATATATATATATATATATATAGGAAAACTCTTGTATGCTAGTCTTCCTCTATATAGGATAACTCTTCATTCAAAACCTGCGGAGGGTCGTTTGCGAACCTTGTGGCATTCAGGTGCACCAGGTCTCTGTATTCGTCCCTTCAAAAAGTGTGGATGGTCCTGCACAAGGCCTTCACCACTATAATCAAATCTCATATGCCGGTGTCGGGCTGTCGGTTGCCTGGGAACTGATCTGCTTGACCCTCATACGTCGAATTTCGACGGGAGAGTCGACTATATATATATATATATATATGTATAGAGAGAGAGAGAGAGAGAGAGAGAGAGTGAGAGAGAGAGGTAGAGACAGACAGACAGACAGACGGGCAGAGATACAGAGAGACAGAGAGACAGAGAGAGAGAAAGGATGTAAGCCTGTGTGAGACCCCATATATTTAGTCGGTGCACTCATAAGCCGTTGAGAACCCCCTGAACATGTTAAGTGCTTCAGTAAATAATTGAATATACGCGTCAAATTCATTCGGCGCGAATAATTGATGTTTTGACCATCGGGATGGAAACCTTTGGTGAAAAGGTCAATCTTGGTGATTGTGAAACAGCGAACGGCATATAACAGGCCACAACGGCTCTCAGTTCGGCGACACAAGTACAAGGTAATGGCCTTTATGACCGGGTCTTAGATTAAAATTCATATATCTACGCAAACTTTGTGACATTTTTATATTTCAGTATACTTTGTTTTTTTAAGCATGGTGAATTTAGCATTTCGCCACATGATCAGGAAAAATGTATTGCGTCAGCTTGTTCTTGTCTACCTTCTTAGAAAAGAAAAAAAAATGCTCTATCCTGAAATGTAAGCTGCTCAGACTTGCCTACTGCACAGTCAATGTAGGAAGCCTATCATACAACAAGAAGAAACTGAAACAAGTAGATAGGGATTGTTAGTTATGTGTCATGCGTGATAAGTGCTTAGGCGATCATGTATCTTTCGGTGCATGACTGACGAGGCAGATTTTTTTCCAGCAGTAGGTTGCCATTTCTTTCTGCGGTAGACCAGTGGCTATCAAAGGCTACAGAACCCGGTCTGTCCTGCTATTTACCCATAACTGGGTGTGGAGAAGAAGAGGATTCATACCTTGCCGAACGCAAGTGAATGTAATGGATTCGACTGGATTTCGAACTCGGCTCTCCGATTCCTCAAGCCAAGCTGCTATCCATTACTCCGCCGTAAATAGACCATTCAAACTTGACTTTATAAGCGCGGCCTCCGTAACCGAATTGATAAAGGCTAGATTCGTTTGTAAAAAACGGTTTCCCTGATAGAAAAAAGGTATACAGTTTCGATTCCTGTCGGAGGTAAAATCTTTTTTATTACGACCTCTCAATTTACCCCGAATGTTTAAGAAAGTAAAAATAAAAGAAACAGAGATAGCAACTGAAATTCGTGTAACTACTAAATTATTTGTTGTAAAAAGTCTATTCAAATACATATATATATATATATATATATATATAGCTTCGGTTTTTGAAACATGGTAATTCCTGTGTAGCGAAGGAAGCATATTTTTAAATCAGTTTATATATATATATATATATATATATATTAATAGAAATGGCTGGCCGAGGCTAGCAAATCCCTATTGCAGACGCCTGCTCAGGCACATTTTTGTTTGTTCAACATCCATAGAGAGTACATGTGGTTTATGCTTCTACTGTGCTTAGTTACAGTTTCTGTGATCAGCAGTCTGAACAAGTCCAGTACGCTCAAACGCTCGGTCACGATGACTTGCAACATCGTGCTAGCTCAATTAAAATACGGTTCCTAAATAGTCTCGTCTACCCGACTTAATTCACAATTTTAATGGGCAACACGTGATATGGTTTTTGGTCACTTTCCGAAGGTGCCGCACGTTGGAATCGCCACCACAGACCGATAACATCAATAAATCACTTCCTGACAAATCGATGTCATATATATATATATATATATATATATATATATATATATATATATATATATATATTAAAAATTTTTTATGTTTAACGTTGTTATTTATAAAATGTCTTTAATAAATAAATTTGCCGGACCTTGTCCATTTCTTAATATATATATATATATATATATATATATATATATATATATATATATATAAAATTTAAATTTTTTTGAATAATCTGGACATATTATGTCTATTTTATTTTAATCATCTCAAAGTCACGTCTCCACTTGTTACTTTATTATTAAATTCATTAAAGGAAGTCATCGTAGCTTTTTTTTACATTTCTTTTATTTTCTCAAGTAAAAAAAGGTATCTCATCCAAGACCATCTTCTGTTGTTTTCCTACTTCACTGGTTACCTGCTAAAAGCTAGATAATATATATATATATATATATATATATATATATATATTTATTCAAGATAATAGATACTTTGCGTCGATTAGTTCTAATGATCGACTTTTCCAAATTACGAGTAATCCTTCGTAGACAAAGAGGACATTATGTCAGAAATTGTCCGAAGTTCATCATTTCGGGAGAAAAATTAAAAGGGTATGGTATGGTCAAAGCTTTCGACTTTAAAGTCATCATCAGGACAGTTAGAGACTATTTGTAAGTTTCGTAGTACTAGTGAGTTTTGCAACGTAGTCTGGGTATATTTGGTGTCTTAATCCACAGGATATATATATATATATATATATATATATATATATAATGAAAGGTTAATGGTCAAAGTTGAATCAGACCAGGAAACAGTAGTATTAAAAACTGTTCAATACACGTGTGAAAAAAAAATGAAAGAAAAGTAACATATAGAGCTTTTAACTATAAAACATCAGGAGATCAGTTGAATCTACTACGTTGGTTTCTCCCTGATGATATCCTCGGGCGATTTTTATCAAATGACCTCTTAACGGTTTATGTAAAAAAAAGAATAACAAAACAATGGACGCGATATTATTCTTAAGAAATAAATAAACAAACGTACGACGCTGAGTGTAATATAAAGAAGAAGAAGAAGAAGAAGAAGAAGAAGAAGAAGAAGAAGAAGTTTATTTTAAAAGTATAGGTGGGGGATTAACTGAAATGTACATTTTTTTATCCAGCCTCATAGTTGCTTAAGAGGAATTTCTTAATATGTTTGCAAGGACTCAAGACTTCGGATTTATGGAATCAAAAGGTTCTTTGGATCTGGGAATGGCATTATTGCTATTTTTTTCCTGTTGGCAGAGGTTGCAAATATTGTTGTGGCTTTTCCTTTTTTTTTAATTTTCCACCTTACAATCGGATTCCTGTTCTTTTTTTTTAAATTCAACACAAGGTCATCAAGTTTGGTAGAGCACCTAAGACTTATTAGGTTGAATGATGATCTATGATTTTACCATCTTCGTTTGAATTAGCCTACAGTATATCTCGTGTTCTTTTTATTTTGGCCATTAATATCTGTTACTTCTGCTTTATAGATTATTGCTTTGGTTTTACAAGCTCCATCTAATGGACATCTATTTTTATTTCTACAGTTGCATAAATTATTAGTTTTAACTATATTTTGCTGCGCGTTAGTTTTGAAATTTCTAGTTTTTTGTCTATTATTGTTTCTTTATTATTAGTTCAGTTGTAGCTTAATTTAACTGTTTTCATTGAATATCTTACGTAATTCTGAATTTTTGGGGATGTGTTTAGTTAGTAACTTGAAAAATAATAACAAGACAAAAATAATAACAATAATAACAAAAGCAGAAATACAAAATGTCCATAATGAGGTTAGATTTAATAAATATACTTTGTTTTGGTTATGATCGAACACTTAAAATGGTTTCCCATATTTCTTACTAATTCTAGAGTTAAGCCTCGCTAACTGTTGCAGCATACCTATGGACGATAATGGGTATGTCCCCATTCACATAAATATAGTAGTATATACTGTATGTTGGTCTGCAGTCGGGGTTTCGTTTCCAGCTGTGCTGATCAAACTATCTGCCTCCGGGCAGAGAGGATCCCCAGACGAACGGCAGAATCTCGTATCCGGAAACAGCTACTTGACTCCGTTTTATACAGGGTCTACGGTAATTTTGGGCCGAGCGTGCGGGTTCGTATACCCCACATTAAATTCGGCCTTGTGCCACATCTGACCGCGTGGGTCGGTTGGTAGATATCCTGCAGTTGGAGATTCCTTGTGGAATTCACTTGAATCTCTTCTAGCAGTTGACTACTTCTACGCGTCGCTGGGGAATCTTATATGTGTTGTTCTTGTACTAAGTATTATCGTTCATTACCAGCCTTCGTGTGATTATTCTATTCAGTAACCTTCCCTAGATTACAACACTAACCTTGGTTTTAACAAAAAAGCAGTAATATTATTTCCTATATAATTACATTATTTGTAGCTCCAGTAGTGGCAGTAATAGTTGTAGTATTAGTAATAATAGTAGTAACATTTCTTTCTTCATTACAATTATCAATTAATATTCCTTTCACATTTTATTAACGATCTAATATACGCGTTCTGAATCACCATACCAATTTATAAAGCCATCGCTTAAGGATTAGACTTAGTAGCACTGTAATATTGATGACGTCTAAGTAGTTTTTAAAAATCATTGAAATAATTTAAAAAATAATGTTTTTGAGAGAGTTATAAAATGAAAAAGAAAAAAGAGAAACATAATTCGAATTGATAAATCCCAAGTGTGATTTGGAAGAATCTCTTTAAATGAAGGAATATTTGAATTTGGTTATTTATTATTTATTTTTTTATTTGTGATTCCAGTTCAAATTCACCATTCTGCGGCTGCTTTAAGTTCGAATATTATTACATTCAGTGAATTCGAGTCCTTCTAATATGAATCATATAAAAATCTCATATATATATATATATATATATATATATATATATATATATATATATGCATGTAAATAAAATATCGTGTTCAGTTTGTTCAGGTAAAAGCACTGTAAATAAGCGCTTATCTACCAAATCGTCTGCCTATGAATCTATCAGTCTGTCATGGCGCCCATTATGTAAGTTTCCTCTTTTGTAATGAAAGCTTTAGACGCTCCTAATTTCTTTTTCTTTTTAAAAATAGTTACTTATTACTCCGTCTACACTGTAATCTCTCTGTTTTTTTTTCTCTCGCTCTCTCTTAAGCTGGCTTTATTGTCACTAATTTTCTTACTCCTTTTTTTATTACAATGAAAGCTTTCGCTTTCTTTGCAATCTACACTCTTTTTCCTTTTTCTAAAATGCACCAACATTTTTTATCATTTTTTAATTGTTTTTTGTTCAAATGCTCTCTCTTTCTACACATACGCACACCCCCACACATATAATATTGTGTTTCTACATATTTTTAATTCTGATCTATTTTTTAAGCAGTCACTCAATTTCTTTTTAAATCACCTCCCTCGTGTCCATATCTTTTCCCATTCTTTCTGTACCTTTTATTCCTCGCTTTCTTTCAGGCCTCACCTATCCTTGTTAATATTTGTCTGTTTCTGTTCATATCTACCGATTTCTATTCATATCTATCTATCTATCTATCTATCTATCTATCTATTTCAGTCTTTTTATAGGTACCTTCATATATATGTTTTGTCAGTATTTTCATATCTATACATCTATCGATCTATCTAAGTCTTTTTGTATCTATCTATCTTCGTATATATGTTTCTTGCAGTCTTTTCATATCTATCTCAATCTTTTCATTTATATATATATATATTATTTCTATATTTTAGTCTTTTCGTATGAACATATATATATATATATATATATATATATATATATATATATATATATATATATACACACACACAAAATTTTAGTTTTCCTATTTATCTCAGTTTATATATATACATACATATATATATACATAAGTATATATATATATATATATATATATATATATATTATATATATATATATATTTGTTTAAGTTGTTTATATCTATCCACCTTAGTCTGTTCGTATCGACATTTATCTATCTATCTATCTATCCTATTCTTTTTGTATCTATCTATCTATCTATCTATCTATCTATCTATCTATCTGTCTGTCTGTCTGTCTGTCTGTCTGTCTCTTTATTTTTCTGTCTGTCTTTATTAGCTTCCCTTTTGGAGAAAACATGATACCCGTGCCAAAGCCGAAATCTCTGGAGAGGCGATAATGATATATTAATGACACGATAATTGAATAACAGAAAACAAATATAAACATTGAAGAAAGAAAATGGGTGAAAAACAGAGAAGAGAAACCGGGTTGATGTAAAAGTGAAGACGGAAGGTAAGTGAAACAGACAGACAAGAAAATGTGTGTGATTATATGATAATGAAAAGAAACAGATATATTTGCATGGCGGATTAAAAAAAAAATCTGAAATAAAACGACGTTCAATTATAGTTTCGTTGAAAAATGAATTAATGCTTCGGGATCATTCTACATATTAAATCGGATCAAATAAAAGCAAAAATAAAATATCCAAATGCTGTCTAACATTAAATATTCATATTACGCCCGGAATATTCGAACGAGTATCTCCATTTCTATTGTTTTGATCGCTATATTTTCCCCCAATCATACTATATCGGAAAGTTTACTGAAAAATGTTTAGCTGCCTCCATTCGAATTGCTAAGAATTATGACCACCTCGTCCAAGATGATCCGAGATCTAGTTAGCAATAAACAGATAACCAACACTACATCAGATGCCTGGGTTTATAATACTAAAAGCCTGCCAAACCAGAAGAGCTATATCGACAAAATTTCCGGAAACCTAAAAGCCCGCATCTATGAACGTACGAGAGACCTACGTTGGGGCAACCCTCTGAACTGTCTCGTAACACGTAGAAATAAAACAGGCTATAACTTCGATTTCCAAATCGCCACCCTAATAAGAAAGGAACACGCTTTACTGCGGAGAAAATATCTAGAAGCCATACCAATGAACACTTTCCCATCGATAAACATACGCCAAACACAATTTTTTCATATCACCAACTTACATAAAACCTATAATTCAAGAATTCCGCGTTCCTGGGGCCGATGTAACCACAGTTTTTTTTTTTTTTTTTAATCTCTCTCACACGAAACATCCCCTAATAAACATACGGACACTACCAGACAAAAATATCCACTAGACGTACGCATTATCCCTCAAATCCGGAAAGACCAACTAACAATATGGTTCACAAATATCTCATTGGCATCTTCAGGAATTATACACACAGAAATTAATCGATTGGCAAAAACTGCCACAAGAGTCAAAATGTATACATATACACATTAACACCGCTAAGACGTGAGGTTTGCCTGGCCAATAAAAAAAAAAAAATAAATAAAGTACTGGAATGTTCTCTTCCATATTTCGTTTCCAATAATGAAGCTTAAATAAAAGCAAATCATGTTGAATTTATAATTTTTAGTTTCGTAGTTTTATAAGCATTCACCCCAAGCAAAGTGGGAGAGCCGCTAGTAGAATGGGGCAACAGAGATTGCAAATAAGAGAAAAGACTGGGTATAGAGTGAGGATTGAGGAAAAGATAAATAGAAGAACGGGAAACAAGGCATCAGAAGATTGACATTACATGTAAATTTTTGAAGATTATAGTTATCAGAGAAGTAAGAGGAAGAGAATTCCACTGTCGGTAAGTGCATGAAAATAAACTGTTGTTGTAAAAGAGGCGGTTACGTTTAACTGTTTCAAAAGTAAAAGTGTGACATTGAGATATCAATCAAGTAGCACGCTTAAATTCATGAAGTCGGTTCGCCAGTGGAAATAGCTCATCAGAGCAATTGCCATGAATATATTTATAGAAAAGACAAAGGGAAGCTACATCACCTGTCTATATTTCTGAGATGAGGTATTATGTACACTATTTACATTATTCGGACTATTGTCCTCATCTTTGTTGTATATTTATCACAACGTTTCGGTGGTTAGAATGTCGAACTGAACACTTTATTCCGCTCGCTGAGGTAGACTGTTCTAGTTCCACGTACCATGTCTAATGGATGCCAGTTATCAGTTACTAGCAGATAATTTTTATCCACATATCAGTCACCTTCGGATGAAGGGTGGGGGCTTTCATTTCAAAGTGAATGATGGCATTCATGTGCGCACATCGTCTGGTCAGTCACAGAGAAAGATTACTTTTGGCACCATAGCATGTCGTTAAGTATCTAGAGAAGTTTGTTTTATTTTAATCTCTTAGACCCCTTACCAAAATGGTCGCCCCAGCCGTTTCCATAGTAATTAATTTTGCGAATGAACATGCTTATAAAGATGCGTAAATTTCAAGATTGCTTATTCTTAAATTTTCGCTTGAGGATGAAACAGGGCTTGATACTTTAACTCAATTTAATTTTAATAATTATATTTAGGTTTTCGGCTCTCGTTTTTGAAACATTAGAACTCTTATGTAGCGAAGGAATCATATATATATATATACAGTAGTTTAGAAAAAAAAATATTTCTGTATATTTAAAAGTTTAAATATAAAATATCATAACTACTCTCGGCTTCCATATGACGTCCTGAAAGCGTTTTTGTCCTATATCAATTAATCTATATTGAAATATCGCGTCTTCATAGTTATTTCTTATAATTTGGTAATATTTTATTTATTTTGGTTTATTTTTATACTTAACATTTATAATATTAGTAGTAATTCTTACGGTTTTTGTATACCAGTTTTGCGTTATTGGCAAGGATTTGTGGGATATATTGTAGTGTTTTCTGGTTGTGTTACCTCGTGATAGATGACTTAAGTGAACTTTATATGCTATAAATATTACGTCAAACGCAGCGATAAAGCAGTGTCTGTGAAATCAATGTATATGTTGTTTGAATTATTATTTTTATTAGAGACTAGCAGTAGAGACCGGCGTTGCCCGGGGATGTAACAGTAAGAGATAGATCAAGTATCGACCATCATAAAAACTGAAAAATAAAATTGACAAAGATTTTTGTTTAAGGTTGACGGACACGCATGTCTTAATTAGTTTTATTTATTTTATTTTTTTTTTTACGAATTGGTCAAACCCAAGCTTAAACAAAAACATTGTTTTCAATCGTTATGAGTCTAGCGATTGAATAGAATTTTATTATAAACAATTGTCTTGTAAATGGAATTTTTAAAGCATTCTGAATGTAAAAATAAAAGAAAAAAAGTGTGCAAGACAATAAAAACACTACCTGCCAAAAAAAAAGTGAAGTTTTGTTGAAATCGGTTGAAAAATGTAGGAAATCCGATCCCATATATAAACGAACACACACACACACAAACACACACACACACACAACCAACCTGGGTTTTATAATAAGTATAACTCGATAACTCGATATTAATGAGTATAACTCGATATGAGTTGTCCCCCTTTCATTAATGCCTCTTAATCGTGTTTTCAAATTGATTTCGTGCAAAAACAATTGTGTTTTTTCCTATTTTTGGCGCTGTCAGAACCACCGCAAGGTAATTTTACGTAGTCCTGTGAAGTTTTGTTGAAATCGGTTGAAAAATGTAGGAAATCCGATCCAATATATATAAACGTACAGACACACACACACACAATATGCGTTTTATAATAAGTAAGATCTCCTGTTAATTCACCTCTCTAAGTTCTCCACTGCCTTAACCAGGTATTCAACTTGCAAATATTTGGGTCCTGTCAATGGATTTAACCAACACCTTTATGCACTTTAAGGGCCCACGGCGCAGTGGATAAAGGCGTTGGTTAGATCCATTGTGATAATTATGGCCACAAAGATGAGGACAATAGTCCGATTAATGTAAATTAGGGAAGCTACATCATGTCTGTTAGAAATTTTTGTTCCTTATCCTATTCTATTCTGTCGGATTCTAATTCATATTTGATCCCTAATTCAATCCTGACCCTCACAGATCATGTGACCCCCAGGTTTTACCCCCAGAATCTCTTAATTTTTCAAGCTGATACGACGGTGTGATGAACGGTAACAGTTAATAGTCTTGGGAAACCTATTTTCCAGAAAAAAATGTTTTAACAGAAAGATTGTATAAATTTCTTATAAGAAAACGACCGACATTAACATTAGCATTACGAAGTCAGCCTCATTAACTGAGTTGTGTTCACAGCAGACGGGTATGACGGTTGATCAAGGAAAGTTTGATTGCCTTCACGAAGGTGACAACGCAATGCGTCGAGAGAACAGGTTGTCAACTTTTTCTCGTTTTATTTTTTCTGTCAATCATGATTAACAATCTTGCTTGATAACACGAAGAGCATATCTAAACGATTTTTCCCACCTAGTTCATTTCGCGTTTAAAAAAAGGGAATTTCATGTATGCTCAATCATATACACATACACTCTCAGTTATGTCCATTCATGACGAGTGTGGTCAAGGCTCTCCACGGCTTCCTACTGTTCTATTCAACAATGCTTTCTACTTTATTACTACTCTGTCATTTTGAAACTTGTTCCTCCAACATATTCTCTCTCTAGGCGACATCCATTGATGACGTGGTTGACCATGACTCACCACGTTTTAGTATTCTTTGTTCTATTCAACAATGATTACTAATGTGTTATCACTCTGTAAATTTGAAACTTGTTCCTCCATCACAGTCTCTGTCAGCTATGGCCGTTAATGGAGTTGGTGATCATGGCTCTCCACAGCTTCCTAATATTTGTTGTACTTAACAATGCTTTATTACCATTCTGCCATTTTGAAAACTGCAGTCTCTCCCTCTCTCAACTAAGTCCATTCATGACGTGAGTGATCATGGCTCTCCACAGCTTCCTATTATTTTATTCAACAATGCTTGCTAATTTATTACCACTCTGTCATTTAGATACTTGTTCCTCCATCGTAGTCTCTCTTTCAACTATGTCCATTCATGAGGGTGATCATGGCTCTTCACCGCTTCCTATTATTTGTTGTACTGAACAATGATTACTAATTTATTACCAAAATGTCATTTTGAAACTTGTTTTTCCATCCCAGTCTGTCTGTTAGTTATGTCCATTGATGGCTTTGGCTCTCCACAGCTTCCTAATATTTGTTGTACTTATTAATGCTTGCTACTTTATTAATAGTCTGTACTTTATACTTGTTTCTGCATCCATTTACACAACATACTTAAGTAGGATTCTCATGTTTTGCGTTTTTCTTACTTCTGATGTGCCCT